TTCAATGGAAGTTCATGTCTACCATTTATAAGTGTCTTTTTATATATATTCTATAGTGATTTTTCTGTACATTTGTTTAGCAATTGGGAAGGGTGTTGCGTTGGGGGTTTGGAGAGAGGGAAGGAAGGAGAGTTGCAATCGGCGAGATTTGGGAAATGGCTGTATTGTGGAATTCTAACTGGAATAAAAATTGAGAAGGGAAGCTTGAGTGAAGGTTTGGGTCTCTAGTATTTATTGTTGTGGAAACTTCTAAAAAGAATTTAGATATATATTGGAGGTTATTTTGGGAATAATAGTAGGTGAGAAAATAACATTTTTATTTTTTTAACTTTTTGTGGTGGGTGGGGAAGTAAGACATTGTGATGAGTCTAGCAACATGTCTATATTTTAGTTAATCATTCATAGATCATCTTTGCAGAAAAGAAGAAGAAGTTAAATTCAATACCATTAAGACGTTCATTTTGACACATGTTTTGTTTCTTTTTGCTTCTTTTTACTAAAAGCAACAAATAAATTAAGATGCATGTATTTATCAATTTTAATTGTTACAAATTCTTCCCTGGTTTGTTGAACCTTTAATACTTGTTGCAGAAAGAGAAATAGTACAGCCTGGGACCTTTGTCAAATTAGATGTTTAATTTTTTTTTTCCTTAAAAAATAGGACAATTGGTGGTAAACCACGGTTATCCACCATTTTTAGGGGCTAGGAAGACTCACAGAGGCATTTCAGCCTCCCCTTAGCCACAACTCTGGCTTCCACACTAGCAGCGGGTTTCGAACCTGAGACCTTCAATTTTTAGTTTGAAAGAAGCCTCGCAATCCGTCTTTTATCACTGAGCCACCAACTCGTGGTTAAATTAGATGTTTAATTAATCTTTCCACTAACACCAATCAAGTACATTCCTCTTTGTTCCATGTGCTGTATTTAAAAAACCTAATTATTTGTAATTAACTATTAGAGACATGTGTTTTATATATATTTTCCAACTCATACAAACACCTAAAGTGTGAAAAGATTGGAAGGCTTGTAAGCAAAACTATGTGGCATTTTGAGATAGGAAATAAATACAGTAACATGCAGAAGAATATTGGGCAAGATTTGAAATAGAAGGAAAAAAAAAAAAAAGCTAATCATTAATCTTGAGATTAATTTGAGAAGTGTACATTGTCTATTGAGTGACTCAAATTGACCTGCAAAACTTCTTGGAATTCTTCAACGCACATCTAACCGTTAAATTCAACAATGAATAAGCTTGTTATGATCTTTATAAACTACATTCAAATGGAAAAACCTAATCACGAGATACAATTAAGAACTGCTTTGCATTAGAGAAGAGAATGTAAGTTAATATTCAGATAGAAACTGCAAGTTTGCTTCTTATAGAATTAGCCTGGATGTTGGGTTCTCACTACTGAAGGTAAATTTTTGTTTGAAAACATATCTAGGGTTTTAAGACAAATTTGTGTAGTTTTGAATTTTGTGACATATATTTGGCACCAAAAAGAAAATGGTCTAATAAGTTTAAAATTTTGGGTCAGATTCGAGGACACACGCTTTTGACACACATTTTGATATTTATTTTGTATGGACCACTACGTAATGTATTTCAACAATACCATCTATATTTTAGTACATCATTTATAGATCATCATTGCAAAAAATTAGACAAATCCAAAACTCTTAAGACATCAATTTGTAGTGAAGAAAATTAATGAATACGATTCTAAAAAGAAACACTAAATTTAATCTAATGATCATTTGGTTTCGGATTTGAGCGATTTTGGTAGACATAATTTTTGAGGTGAGATATAAAAATAAACGGTTAGATAGTTAAAAAACGTGTGTCAAAAACGTATTTCTCCGGATCCTTACCTTATAATTTTCGGTGAAAACATGTTACTGACTACAGATAGAAAGAAGCAAATCAAAGAAGTTTCCCAAAAAAAAAAAGAAAAAAAAAGCAAATCAAAGATTGATAAGTTCTAACCAACCCAAAATAATTATATAAGCAAGTCAACCCTTTCGGAACACATTATTATATATTCATACAGCACAATAATAACTGGCAATAATAAGAGACTTGGATGTATTTACCGACAAATATTCAATCATGCATTTGTTTTGTGATAAAAATTAAAATACATGATAGTGCGTAAATTTATTTAAAATATTATCACAATTATATGTTTATATGTTTATATTTGATATGTGATTGTATTTATCAAACTAATCACACATTGTTACACAATTAAATTAAAAAATATAATTATATGCTTAATTAATTTGAAATATTATGGAAATTAGGTGTGGGGTCCACTCTACATCGAATTTTAACGATCCGAACCATCTATTTTGTAAGTTTTGATTCATAGATCATCCTTAAAAAAATTCAATTCGATCCGAAATCATTTGCCTATTTAATTATCAAGATCAAACTTCATTGTTTTTTGTATAACAAAGTATTTGTTCATTTCTTTGAACCCAATTAGATGTCTTAAATATTTGCGATTTGGCTAATATTTTACAAGGATGATCTATGAGGTACAACTTAAGAAATAGACGATGCAGATCGTTAAAATTCGATGTAATGTGGACCCTACAACTAATTCCTATTTTTATAAAAAAAAATAAGAATCCCTTTTCTTAAAGGCTTCTTATATACACACACACATACACACACACACACACACATATATATATATATATATATATATATATAAACATATAGGGAATTGTTATTGAAACTCTAAAAATCTTGTTTTGCACTCCAAATTTTTTATAATTAGAAATAAAAATAAACTTATAAGAAGTGTAAAATAAAATTTTGAAAGTGCTATAGTTCCCTATGTGTGTGTGTGTGTGTGTATATATGTTGAGGTGGTGAAAAGCAAGGCAAATGCCTAACTCACCACCACCACACAATAGAGAGATATTTTTCAGTGTGACCGGTATACGGGGTGGTACACCAGTGTCACTAAACAAATGGTGGGATATGTGTGCTAAAAAGTTAATAACTTAAAAAATAAATTTGTTTACCATTCTTATTAAAATAGGTAATGTATTACTTATATTCCCGTCATAATTAAAAATTTTTCCTAGGCCAATGCTCTGAAAGCCCCATATTTCTCAGAAAAGTCTCTAAATAAAAGTGAAAGCCAGCTCGCATCAGTGACGCGCGCAGAGTTGTAGCTCCTCATAAATCACCCCATTTGTCTCAGCAGATTACTACTATAAATGAGTTATCCACTTGCTTTCATCACTGTGCTGGTGTTTATCTGTAACTTTTTCATTTTTGGATCCAATTATACATTTATGGAAAATCACAAAGTTGACCAAAATTGAAATGAAAACATAAAAAAGGAGGACTTTTTTTTTTTTTAATTTTATTTTTTTATTTTTTTTATCTGGGTTGACAATAGGGGTGGGCACTTGAAAACAAAAACTGAAACCAAAACACGAACCAAATTGGTCCGAACCGAAGAATTTGGTTTTGCGATTTTGATATGGTGGCGGTTTTGGAATCGAACCGCAATGTATAGGAAGCGGTTTGGTTTTGGTTTTGGCTTTTGAAAATCATACCGAAATCAAAACCGTACCTCAATTAGATGTTATGTTTTAATTGATTGTTTGTTAGAGTCCATAGATTTAGTATGGACTCAACCACACTAGAATGTCATCTGTTTCCTAATTTTTACCTTTGGTGCTTTTTTCGTTCTGAATAAACTATCGTTCTCCAACACTAGGTAAAAATAAAAATAAAAAATCCATGTCATACATAGTCACTGTTATTTTGATCTCCAGATTTTGAAAGATGGAAAAAGAAATAATGTAAATGAATGGTGTACTCAGCCTTTTATATGATATGGAACAAGAAATATTTGCAAGTTATACTAAACATTTAAAGAATTAAAGTATGTATACAATGAAAATTACATTGTGATCGGATGAAATAAACACCTAGTTTTCGGTAAGATTATTAGATCCTTCACTCTTGCTATTTTTGGAATTGTTTGATAATGACAATTGCTCGAACACAATGTACACGTTTATTAATTAATTTATTGTGTAAAAAATGAAACCGTTTTATGCGTACGTAGGTGTAAATTTTAAATTGTATATTTTTTTCTCAAAAATCAAACCAAAACCGTTTGAAACCGCACCGAACCGAACCATGTCCACCCCTAGTTGACAACCAGGCATAAGTCCGAAAGGCAAGTGCAAAATCTGATTCTACCATAATCTTCTTAATTTCATTATTTCATGCAAGTAGCAGGGAAACCATCTTCATCCGAAGCCAATTTTAAAGTAAATAATAACAAATTTGGAATCATTAGGGAGAGCAAAATCTTGTTCAAAATACTTTTGCTTCGCCAGTGTCACAAGAACCAGCGAGTGATGAAAAAATATGTCTCCTTTGCGAATCCTCAAAACTAATATTTTGGAAGCAATCAGTAGTTCATGCATCGGTAAAAAATTGATCAAGAACAGGAAAACTTCTCCGAACCTTAGAGCAAAGGAGAAGTCTCTAAAAACGTAAATAATTGAGTCAAAATCACCATCATATCTGCCGTATAGCCAACCCCCGTCTAACTCGTTGAGCATTGGTCAATAATTTGTATAGCAACACAAGTCAAAGAAAAGAGAGCACTTGAGGAGGAAGACGCAACTCCCAGATAAACCTCCATCGCTACTTGGTATTCATATTAACGCTTAGGTCTAACATATATAGACAAAGACTTCACAGTAAAGCTACTATCATTAGTTGGTCTTCATATACACTTGTCTGTTAAGCTACCAATACTGTACACAGAAATATTGACAATTTTATCCATAAAATTTATCCATAAAAAATAACGTTTCGTGTCAATCATATAATAATATAAGCAATTTAAGTCCACATAATACTATATTCTTAACAAAACGGCGTGGTGACTCAGGAACATGCAAGTTGCTTCCTTAAACAAAAGGATAAAGAAAAGGAAAAAGATTTATTGCACAATTTGAATAGGGAATATGAATTTTAGAGAGAGCCCAGCTTGTCCATTCATTCAAACCAAGCAAAGTTTACAAAAGAAACTCAAAAGTTTAATTAATCAATTAACAAGAACAATATAAATAAAATAAAAGTGAAAAAAGAAAAAGAAAAAGAAAGAATAATGCTGAATCATCTCTGCTGATCTGCCTTGTGCAACTGTCCACTTTTTCTCTCCCTCTCTATATTTCCAGGGCTCGGTTTTGTTTTTCTCTGTAACGATATATATGACTGCTGCTACGTAAATTTAGAGCAAGCTTATTTCTTGTGTCTTAATCCAATCCCCCTCCCCGTTTTTCAAACGGTTTTTTTATTCACCAATAAATCAATAAATTGGAAAAAAACTGATGACCACGACGACGACGACGACTACCCGAGAAGCAGTAGAAGAAGAAGAAGAAGATCAGGAGGACAACAAAAATCAGAAAGATGATGAAATGGGGTGGTGATGAACAAAGGAGAATGAAAGAAATTAATTTAAGAAAACAAGGGGAAAAAAAAAAAAAAGAGAGAGAAAATGGAAGAACTAATTTTTTGAGGGTTTCAACTTTTGCTCATGTGAGGTATATCTTACTTGAGCTAGATTGAGATACGTACATATTGTACAGAGATTTGGCCATGCACATTTCTCACTGAACCAGGGCGAGGAAAGAAGGTGCACCGTTGCCTCCGCCGTTGGACGAAGGGCCTGTATTCTGCTTCTGAAACTCTATCTTGTAAGCCATCTTCCTCTCTTGTTCCGTTTCTTCATCGTCTTCCTCGTCCATGTCCTCGTCTTCCATGTCCTCCTCCTCTTGATCCATAAGATTATCGCTATCCGCTTCCTCCACCCTATTGCAGTCATCTACTCCAAAATGTTGTGGGTGCCCTTGTTGGAGGACTTGTTGGTGATCATGCACCTCCATCAACTCCTTCACAATGTCTTCTGGCTTCAAATGCAAAACCAATAATCAGTATACATAAATTTGTACGCCAAACAATGCGGAGATATAATTTTGGATCTTATTTATTTTGAACAAGTAAGATACTGACCGACGCGTAACGAATTTTGTCAACAAATTTGATGACTCTAGTATCTCATATGGAAAAACTTTACCTTCTTGGCAGCCTCTTCTGTTCCCTCTCCAAAGAGGTTAGCTCTCAAATTTGTTTCCACATCTGTGCTATCATCTGCATTCTTGTTTTCTGATCCGGCCACTACTTGCTCCTGTTCAGGTTGTTGCGGTTGTTGTTCTAGCCTATTTCCCAATGAGCTGCTGCTGCCGCCGGTAGACCCACCGCCAAGCACCCTTTTCCGGTAAAGGGCATCTAGTTCGTGAAAATATGGACACGTTTTCGCATCCTCGGGCCGCTTCTTGTTGCTCTCCTTCACCTTCTTGAAGTACTTGTTGATGTTCTCCCATTTCTCCTTGCACCTCTTGCAACTCCTATTGTACCCCATCCGCCCCATGCCGGCGGAGATTTCCTCCCAAAGTGGGCCTTTCGGCCCTGCATCTTGGTACCTCGACTCAAGCCCGCTCCTCAACTTTATCAGCGCCAGTACTTCTGCCTTGGGCCATCTCGAAGATGATGCAGGCTCGGAGCTCCCTCCTCCTCCACCGCTACCAATATTCTCCTGCGCTGTCGGAGGTACCTGCTGTTCCGGTACAGCCATCACCGGTTGAACAGCTTGAGTCTGCTGAGCATGACGAACTTGTTGCATTTGTTGCGGTGGCTGAGGTTGTTGCTGTTGCGGTGTTTGATAAGTCTGTGTCGTCGGCTGTGGCGTTGTCTGTGGTAAAGGCGTGACAACCGACACCGACGGAGGCACAGGTGGTGGGGGAGCGGCGTGGACATTGACCGGCGGAGGCAACTGAATAGTCTGACCAGTAATTTTCTGCAGGAAAGAGATAATGGCGGCATCTCTTGAAGCAGAGATGGCCCGCTCTTGACTCATGAGCTCCTGCTCGCGAGTTAAACGGGCCATCTCCTGACGTTTCCACGCCTCCTCCCTGATAGTCCTGTCCTGCTCCCTCTTCTCTATCACTTCTAGAAACCTCTGCTGCATGCTCTCTTGCTTTTGCATCACTTGCTTCATCAGAACCTCGAAAAAGTCCATCATTTTTCGGGTACTGCCGCCGCCACTAATTCCGGTACTAGTACTAGCACTCCCCTTTTTTCGCTTCCGACTCCAGCGCTCTCCTTCCGCGTCATCATCGTCGTCATCGTCGTCAGTTCCCGGGGAAGTCGACGAGCTGTTGGAGGAGAAGTTAAAGTCCGTTGGAGTGGCTGTAGGTTGGGACGAGGGTATTATTGGAATTGCAGTGGCGGAAGGTGGTTGTTGTTGCTGTGACATTCTGAACGATGAGATGGGCATGGGGTTACTGACAGATCCGAGCCCGACAGAAACCGGATTCGGAGACGCGGCGTGCACTGCCGGAGAGGCTGACACGTTGGCTGTCGTAGCTGCGGCGGTGGCGGCGGTGCCATGTAGAGCCTCCAGCTCGCTGAAAAACTTGTAGCTTTTGCCGTCTTGGCGTCCCGCGCGGCCTTCTTTTGTCCGCTTGTAATATTTGTGAACGTTTTCGAATTTCTCCTTGCATTTCTTGGCATTTCTTCGGTACCCCAATTCCGCCAGTTTCCTGCACAATGTAACAAATCCATATTTTGTTATAAATAATTAACCAATTTTTTAAATTTAAAAATTTGAATTAAACCCAATAAAAAAGAATAAATCATCATCTTCCAAACTAGGACTTGAGGGAGGGTTAAAAGACAAAAAATGGAGGGGAGAGGGTGGTCTCTATCTCCAATGCAATTGATTATATAATATTAGCTGTAAATAGTCGAAATTTAGAAGCATTAGCATTTTATTAATTAAAAAGGAAATAAAGGAAATCTTATTGGGATTTTAAAAAATTGAATTTAAAGGGGGAGGGACAAAAATAAGAGGAAGGAGGGAGGGATTGGGTACAAGTGATGCAGTGGATCTGAGCCGCTCTAAATACCAACAAGAAGAAAAAGAAAAGAAAGAGAGAGAGAAAGGAAAGATGCTCGACTCGTGAATCGTGATGGAAAGAGATAGAAGCCCCATCTACCATGTGCGGCTGGCTGCCTGCCTGCCTCTGTATCTATGTATTTATATATATATATGTGCAGAAAAATAATTAAATCATTAATTTCTTCCTTTTTTTTTTTCTGGTTTTTTCAAGGATTTTTTGTTTTGTTTGTGAAAGTACCTATCAATAATCAATATTGGGAATGCCAAAATGGTGGAGAAGATAACTTGGAAAATCGAAAAATGAACGAATTTCGTAACCCAAAATTCAATAAACTGAAAAAGAACAAAAACTAGCATGAATTTTGATTTGATTTGATCGTTTTTGTTGTTGTTAATTACCTGGAGACATCTTCCCACAAGGGGCCTTTGAGGGTCGCGTCACGGAAGGCCACATCCATATCGGACCTGATTTTGAGAAGCGCCAGGGTCTCCTGACGCGGCCATCTGTTCCCGGTGGACCCACCACCGCCACCTCGATCCGCGAGAGCATCTTCTGCTGCAGCCGCCGCACCGGACAGAGTCATGAGCTCGTCCAAATTCACCGCCGCGGAAGCTGGCGGCCTGCTGCTGATTGGGGACGCCGCTTCCACCACCAGCTGGCCTTGCTCCGCCGCCGCAGCTTCAGCAGCACTCATCTCTCCAGCTCCTCCGTAATGGGTTTGGGACCCTCCAGCTCCTCCAGCTGCTGGTTGCTGCATAATCTCGCGAATTGAGAAAATGGGTTCTTCTCAATTCCTCAACGCACCTGAAAGACGTCGTCTTTCTTCCAATTCTTCACCGCCGATTCTGTACCCAGTGAAATTGATTGGGTACATTAAGCGGCAGGGGAGGCGGATCTTCCTCTTGGGTGTGAAAAAGAGAGAGAGAGAGAGAGAGATGAAGGAGTGGTTGGTGAAAGATGAGAGAGAGGAGGGGGAGGGGGAGTTAAGGAGGAGGGGCAAAAGGAAGGAGGGTGGGGGGGGATTAGATTTAGACAACTGGAAAGATGAAAGGCAGAAAGTGAATTTTCCTATGAGTTAGTGCAGGACTTCACACACACTTGAGATTTGATTTTTATTCCCTTGTTTACTTAAAAACCCAACAACAGAAAAGAATATTAAAGAAAAAAGGAATAATAATTAAGCAAAAAAGAGCAGAAAGAGGGGGAGGAAGAGGGTATAATCATCATCATCATCCCCATCCCAACTGCAATACTGCTGCTGCTGCTGCCTGCAAAAGATGACAGACAGAGAAAAGAAAAGACAGAAAGACTGGATGGGTTGTGGGGGGCGATAGATAAACGAAGAAAGAGAAACAGAAGAGCGAGCAAGACAGAGAGAGAGAGAAGTGAATGAATGGAGAGATGGCGATTATGAGGGTGATGATGATGATGATTAAGAGAGAGATAGAGAGTGTGTGAGAGAGGAGAGAGAGAAAGAAGAGAGAGAAATTTATAAGAGATGCTGTGTTGTCAGCGGCTCTCACTTTGCTGCTAATAATTGTCAAAACCATTTACCACTATATTTTACTCTCCATTTTCTTGAACTTTAAGAATGAAATGTCACACTACTATTAAAATATATCGGTATTTTTCTATATTTGTAAATTTCAAGTAAGTTTAATTTTATGGATGGATAGTTCGGTACATATTATGGTTGATCGTTATGTAGTATTATTTTTACGTGTAAGTTGAAATATCAAATTCAATTTTCATAAATAATAACGAGTTTGAAATATAATTATAGCTGACTGATTATGTGATTCAGTTTAAATCTCTCTCTTCAATATCATTTTGTAAAGAATATATTTAAGACACACAAAAATTATAGCCCATCAATGTAAGATATGTATTACTGAGTTTAACAGTTGAATGTCCATTAAAGAATTGAGAGAAATTAACAAATGAAAATAAGCCATTTAAAGACAATTTACACCATAAATTTATTCTATATACTAAAATGATTTTGTTGATACATTCCCTAATAGAGGTGCACCTTAGCATATATAACTTCTCCATTGCTCTAGAAATTTAGACTCAAATGTTGTATTTGAGTCCCAATATAACTTTTTTTCTACTGCACTGGAAAGTTAAAATTCATATATAAATTTTGAGTTGTATTAAAACTTATAATTAGGTTTAGTTATAAAATTTGAGTCTAAGACGGACCTCACACTAATAAGAAAAGATAGTATTTCAACTAGTAAAGTTTTGACGCCAACCATCTCCAACGCACAAAATTAAATGTTAAAATTCAAATATGAGTTCTTATTTCACTATTTTACTCTATGATGCACGTAATCAAATGTTAAAACTCAGATTTAAGTGTAACATTTGGGTATGTGTATTGTGGAAGAAGAAGAAAAAAAGGCATCAATAGTTTGAAACCCAAATATAAAAATATAAGAATTATGTTGCATTATTTTATAATTATTAAGGTGCTACACGTAATTCTTCCGGCTCGAATTTGTGGATTCGCCCTAACGTTGGTGGTGAGAGAGAGTAATTAATTTCTCCCTAAACTTTTTCCATCAAACGAATAGCACATAATAATTATTTTGAAACACAAATAACAATTTTCTATTATAAATTTATAATACAGATTGAATAAAAGAGAAAAAAGGAAAGAAAATTCAAAGTGAATGGACGAAGGAGCAATGGAGCATAAGCTAGGCAACTCTCACATCCATCTTTAGGAATAAAAATCAAGGCCATCTTTTCTTTGCCATCACAATAATTTCCTACTGAATTGACCCAACAATCCCTCTCTGTGGGTAAATGCCCTTACACAATTGGACTTTGCTTTTACTTTACTATGTAGCTTAGGAGCACCAAAAACTTTGCTCTCCTTCCCCTCAAGTTGTACTCTCACTCTCTCTAATCCATACAGTTTCACGTCCACACACCCACGAAACTCCCAAGAAACCAACTAAACCTCGCGCAAGGACAATTGACGGTAGCCAGTGACGGATCCAGAATTTTAACTTTGGGTGGTCTTAGTATGTAAATTCAAGATTATTTAAGACGGAAATAGAACCAAAACCGAATAGGTGGGCAGCCAAAATTTCCTTTTGGTCTGAAACTTAGCTGTTTGTATGTGAAAGGGAGAGAGGGAGTTTGTGGTGGAAAGAGAAATGAAAACCAAAGGAGAGGACTCCTTTCTTGAAATATTGGAGTATATGGGTTCTCTTTTTATTTCTTTTACATTTTAATGAGTCTATTGAATAAAACGCAACGTTTTACTTAAGCGAAAAACAGTCATCTTCTTCCCGGCTTCTTTACTTAAGCAAATCTACAACAAACAAACCATGGTTGCAAGGCATCACCACCATCGTCGTAGCTTCTTTGCAGATCAGCCTCTGCACATCTATGAGACCGAAGAGGTCCTGGTCACGTCTCCACCACCACCTTCCAAAAGAATCGAGAGGTACTTCAAAGGATCTTCTGCCGGTTTTCGCGTGATCCTGAGACCACCCGGGTCCCTTTAAAGGTAGATATAACATTTTTTTGTTTTGTTTTGTATTTGTTTCTTCACATCCAAAATTGACACCGTAATTTTGAGCTGGAACAAACTAAAATTGTTGAAGCACACCAATTAGGACGGGAATCAGAATATGATCTGCACTCACCATCAGTCATCGCACTTAACCATGGTTTAAACTGTAAACTCAACCCAATTATACATCCTCTGAGATCGATCCGTGGCTTTTTTTAACATTTATTTGTAGCTAGCAATTTAAATGATACTCCACGCTCCTCCTCTTCTTGCTCAAAACCAATATTATATAGGTAACTAATTATCTAATTATTAATTAATTAAAGGGACTATTTGGTGATTAATGATATCAAGAGGGAAAAATTGGATATTTTAATCCCACATCGAAACTTTGAATTAACCTGGAGGGAGGACGACCTGTGATGCTGTCAGATGATGACTTTAGTTGTTGTCGGTCCCATCTCCCATCTGACATGCTTGTAAGTCCCATGTGATTGGAGCCCTACGGAGGCTGATGGAATTTATCATATAAACCTGCATATATATTACATATATATATATTAAAGCTAGAAAGAGATAGACAGAAAAAGATCTATTTTACACCAACAACGCCAGCGGCCATTGATGATTTGCTTAAAACTAACACTAATTGACAGCAAACAACTCCTGTTGTAAGCTTGTTCTTTCCTTTTTATACTTTTCCCATTCACACAAACAATTAATGCCCTCACCTTAAGAAAAATTATGGTGGGATGATATTGAAACAGCGTTGCGTGATATAATCAGCGTGCTTGCTTTTTCTTTCGATGCAAGCGATGGTGGAAGGACGAAAATCAAACTTAGGATTCTAAGTGCTTCTGTAAAAGCTATTAATCAATTGAGTTGTAAGTTATTGTTAATCAGTTGGGCTTCGTTTGATAGAGATGATTGATTTGGATAGAATTATTCACTATATTTATGTATTTTAAAAGAAGAAACGAACGACAAATTCCTTACTTGTCCAAGTTAAAGGTTATTCATGAAGAATAGTGGGCGCTTTTAATCCTACCTTTGTTGTGGGGATTAGTATGTATATCTTTTCTTCATGTGTAATCTTCAACTTAGATAAAATAAGGAATTTGTCATCAATTTCTTCCTTTAAAATGCCATTAATATAGTGAATAGTCTTACCCAAATCAATCATCTATCATTTGTGTGTATTATGATATGAGTGAATGAACATCTATATAATTTAAGAAATAAATATTAATGAGTATATATAAATTATAACATGTAAATTTATTATACCACAGTATGATGCAATAATTTCTTATTGGACTAGTAACCATTGCGTTTGAATATCCAACTTTTGATCGCATTAACACATTGTGGGGGGCACGTTACGCGCTCTCAAACTGTCATGATGCTCCTCAAGCCTAATGTATATCATTGTGGCAATCATGCTTTTTCTAAGTCACCACAATATAATTATATACAGGTACATATATATGTGCATGCATGCATTATGTATTTACTATAATTATATGTTAATTACAACAAGTCGCAGATACTATTAGGTTTAAGGAGCCAGCCAGGAAATATTAAGACTGCCTAACGTACAGATATGGATAGTACTTAATTAAGGAAGAGAATATATATATATATATATATATATATTATATATATATATATATATATACACACACACATAAATATATAAGCTCTTTATCCAAAGAAATTCCAATTTTTTAATACAAATGGAGACTAGTTATGGGCTATATTTCATATGAACTTCAACTAGTTATGGGCTATATATATATACACACACATAAATATATTTCATATTAATGTGAATATGAATACATTAATTTGTTAACCCTAAGGGATCTTATTAAACTCTCTCTCTCTCTCTCTCTCTCTCTCTCTCTCTCTCTCTCTATATATATATATATATATAATGTGAATGTGAATACATTAATTTGTTAACCCTAAGGGATCTTATTCTGTGATATTAATTGTCCAACAAGTTTTTGCTTCGTTGTATGCGATTCTTTTTGGTAAATAATTTGCACAAGTTTAGAAGGGAACCTTTTTCCCCTTTTTTTCTGTCTTTTTGGTAAGGAATTAAATCGGTTGCTATCACATGGTAACCATCATGTTGCTAACATGAAAATGTTGTTAGACGGCCGGATTCGAACATGGAGGATGCCCATGCAAGAAAAGGGAAGTGACACTTATTAAAATGTAGTAGTAGCATTCTTTGTTCCACACCATACAATCACCAATTAAATTGTGCAATAGAAAAACACAATGTGAGTGCATGAAAGAAACCCATGTGGATAAAAGAGGGAGTTAGGGTTTTAGAGCCGACAACGAGTGAGAGGTCGTAACTTCTCATCTATTCTAATATGTTATGCTTTCAAACTGTCAACAAAAAAAAGAAAATGTGGCACATGAAAGAAATTATGTGGATAAAAGAATATGTTAGGGTTTTGGAGCCGACACTAACAATGAAAAAGGTCGTAAGTTACCATTTAATCTAACATGTTATGTGATCATACTATCAATTATAGAGATCATAAATCAACATCATACTAGTATGTTAATTATGAGATGAAACTGTTAACAGAAAAAGACAATGTGGGAGAATGAAAAAGATAAACCATGTAGGGTTTTGGAGTTGACAATGAGAGAAATTGTAAGTTACTAATTTACTATTCAGTCTAATATGTTACGTTATTAAACTGTCAATTGACATTACCGATCGATCATCTAAATAAAATACACAAAAAATGTGAAATTTATAAATGGGAAAAAGTAGAAAATGGGGTGGCCAAGTGAGTGAAGGCATGATGATGAGAAAGGAAAGGAGTTTGGGTTGGAGAGAGAGAGAGAGAGAGAGAGAGAGAGAGAGAGAGAGGCATTTAGTAATTAGGTTATGAGAGGGAGGGGAGGGGGAGACCAGAACAGATGGGCACAGCTGTAGAAAGGGGCCCATTACGTGAGGGGAAGGGGAGGAACGTGCGTGGCGTTTCTCCCGGATTTCTGAAACCCCTAACTGCCGATCACTGCACATGCCACTTGCTTCTCCTCCTCCTTCCTTTTTTTTCTTTCATTTTTAGGAAAATTAATAAAAATGGTTTGAAAATTTTGAGTTTTAACTATAAGGACAAAATAAAAGGTAAAGTAAATAGTAACAAGATTGACTTTTTCGTTAAAGTTCTTTTCATTTTTCTCCCCCCACTTTTTATTTTTTTCTTTTATTTTTAACCACTTATGGCTTTCCTCTTTTTTTTTTTTTTTTTTTTTTCATTTTTTAATAAAACCCCCATTCTCTATCTCCTACTCTCTTTCTCTCTCTCTAGGTTTTTTTATTGCCATATTGATCGATTTTACTTCTCACCTGTGAGCTGGACCCTAACATGCTCTCCTCCTCCTCCCATCCCATCTTCTTCTTGTTTTTACACTGACCTACCCTCAGACAAACAGTAGTGTCTTGTGTTTTGCTTTATTCTTTGACCAAAGCAACTATGCGTGACAAGTGTTTGTCTGTGTTTACGTATTTGGAATGAAGAATGGACGAGAATGAAATCAACTCGACGCTTCTAGTTGATATGATCTATATGATTCTTTTAGGTATTGAATTACGAATTTGAAGATTGAAGCGTTACTTCTTTTGATTAGTAAACTTGAGGGAGTCAATTGAAATAATTCAAATGCCCATAGAGTAAAGGAAACTCCTTAGTAAATGCTGGAAATCAAGAAAAAGATATGTATTTAGAAAAGGATAATGGATATGGAAATCATTATAGGTCTGTTTGGTACTCTACTTGAATCCAACTTTTTCAACTCAAAAATCATTTTCAAATTTTAGACCTTAAAAACTTGTTTAGTATGATTATTTTCAAAAAGTGAACTTAAAACTAACTTAAAAAAAAAAAGTCTATTCTCCAAAAACACCAAAAGTGAATTTTTTGAATTTTTAAACTTAAAGATCACTCGTTTGATTTCTTCTCTCCCCCTCCCCATTCCGGCCTCTTCATTCTCTCTCCTCTCTATCTCATTCGATCATCTCTCTTCTTTCTGTCTCCTTTGATGCTCTTTCTTTTTTTTTTCCTACTCTTTCCTCGTTCTCCCTCTCCTGCAACTCCCTCTCTTTAAATCTCATACCAAACAAGTTTTTGAGTCTTAAAGAAAATTGTTTTCAATAAATGTTTTGAGAAATAATGAATTTTTTTTTAATAGGATACCAAACAAACTCTAATATTCCTAGGGCACTCAGTACTACGATCTGGTATTACTTCTCTTCACTTGGAGGTGAGAGGTCTTAGGTTCGAATCTAATGAATGGCGAATTTGATACCAAATTATGCTACCCATTGTATGACTTAACTGAACTCCCCCTCTCCTTAGTGTAAAAATATTGACGTACTAAAAAAAAAAACTCTAATATCCCTAGGGAACTTTTTCTTGCTCAACATAAGGACCAATTTAAGACGATCAACTTTTTTTTTGTTTCCGGCTCACAAAGGAGACTAAACGTAGGGTTGGCGGCCCTAATCGGGAGGGGCAAACGTCGAAAGTGATGCATGGGAGGTACCTAAAAAAGTAAAACGCCCGATTATGTGGCATAGCTAAGGGCCAATACACATCGTTAGGTTGGTACAACACCAACCTTCCAAATTTTACTTAAAGCCTAAGTTTATTAGTTTTTGGTTTCCTCCTCTGCAGCTGTGAAGGTCTGGGCTCTCTGCGCGACTCAGCGAAAGATTCAGCAACACTTCGGGCCCAATTTTGGGCCTGCTATCCAAAATTACCTCAACCTGAGCCCATCACACACCTCAATTTGGACCCACAATCCCAACCCACCTCAAATTCATTACATCATTTCGGAACACTGATTCAATAAACTTGTACTAGTTTTGAACTAAACTACCGCTAAAATCTCACCTAATCAGCTGCTTGATCGTTGAATCTTAATTTATGATTAGATTGCCTTCTGAGCAAAATCGAAGGCAAAGAATGTACTCCCCGAGCCGAAGGTTTGCATACTCGTCTTCAACTGTTCTTTTACAATGAAGCACTCTCAATCTGCAAGCACATATTTTCAATTTGTTAGAGGCCAGCCGAACTAATAACAGCAAGTGATGCTCATTTCCAAAATCCAGATCGATTCAGAGCCTACCCCGCTAACAACATCCAAGAAACAGTTATTTAGTATCAGTAATCGAGCCGAAAGGTCCTTTACCACACTGTCCCACTGTTAAACTGACAACTTCCTCACTTGTTTGGTTCAGTTTGCAACATAACCGCCGCGGTACCTGTGGAAAGAGATTCATTATATCACAAAAACTGGAACAGGCAAGTCAGAAATCAGTTTCATTGCATACGGAAAACGTAGCTGAGTGAAGAAACTCACCAAATGCCATTTCTTGGTGGGCGGATAGCCCAAAACTTTAATTTTTTGCAGACTGTGCAAAAGTCGAAATCGGGAAAAGCAGAAAACCTTTCTCTTGAAATCATCTTTTGCTTTGCTCCGCATATATGATCCCAATGTAGCATCCCCCTGTTTCCTAATATCTTTCAAGAAGAATAAAATAGGCTTCTTACAAACAGACCTATAAGCGACTTTTGTATCGAAATCGAATTCATTCCTGTGACTTATCCCATTCCAAGCAGAATAAGTCTGCTCTGAGCGCTCGAGGTCACGAGGGAGCACAATGTTTGGGAAGACTTGAACCACATAACCAAGCGAGACAGAAAATGTGAGATGGTGTCCACGATCATAACAAATGGACCGCTGCAAAAAGCTGGTAGCTTGGAGTCTCATTGCCTGTGTGAAAAGCTTCAAACTTTGCAGAGAGGTGAAGCCGGGATAAAATGGGTCAACAGCTTCAACATGGTGAATGGACACAAAAGGTGCTATAGGATGTGAAGATAAAAGACCGTGTGCATTGCCCCTAATGTCACACTGCCATACACAAATCCATTGCACTAGTTAAGCAATGCTCTAATAAAAAGAAAGATATATACAAAACACACTCATATGAAACAATACAAGAACAAAACGCGTTTCACCAATCAAGCAATGGTCACGGAAACAAAAGGATCCATCCATTCACACATATAAGCGTTTGTTTGTAGAACTAGTAGCTAATATCACACTGCCACAACAAACCCATCTCACCAATTAACAATATTCTGTTTTTGATAATGCGATAATCTAAACTACTATAATCTACAGCAAGGGATAATCTAGACAACTCTAATCTACAGCGAGGGGGATTCGAACTAAGGTGCAACATGGCGGGCACACTGCCCCCAAACCAACTGGCGTAACACACATGTGCAATTAAGCAATGCTCTTTAAAATGGAAAGATATATGGATTTATATCTGAGATTACCTGATGGAAGCCAGGTTCCCTGGTTAATGGAATCCCAAGCTCAGCAATGCAGGCATGGAGACGATCGTCGCTTCCATAGAGCTTCGGGTACCTCTCGAGACACTTGTCCTGCATTCCGGATAGGGCTTCCGCCAAAGGGTGGCTAATTGCAATGCCGCCCCCGCCAAACGCCATAGAGTGGCTGAAATAAGTGTTGGCAGAGTGACTCTCCGACGGGCTTCCCACATAAACCATCTCCGACGAGTCGTACTTGCCCAGCACGGCGACGAGGTTATCGACGTTGATGATGGTGTCGTCGTCGGCTAGGACGAACCACCGGACATTGGGGAGGCCAAGGCGGAAGCACTCGGAGATTATCCGGGAGATTCGAAGCCCCGACGGGTGACCCGTCGGATTCGTGTACCGAAACCTCGAGATGTCCTCGGAGACCATGATCGGCGGCAACGACCGATCGACGTCGTTTACCGGTAGCTTCTCTTCCAGCCATACGTGGCCGCGCATGTCGTTCGGGCGCCACCAGAGCCGGACGTACTCCTTCCGCTGCTTCCAGAGTTGGGCCGACCCGGCAATTCCGAAAACGATGTCGTTTAGAGTGAGCTCCTCAGAGTGTCCACCCCGTCGCGAAATGGTGCGGTTTCGGGAGCGAGTGAAGGACTGTGGGGCGGGGAGGGAGTGCGGGGTGGCGGAAAAGACGAGGGAAAGCCAAGCGGTGGTGGAGATCAAGAGGGCCGCGACGGCGATGACGGCGGTTGCCACGTGGCTCTGACGGTAACGCGGAATTTTGGGCGATCTGGGATTGGCGTTGTTGGGGTTTGTTGTTGACGTCGTCGTCATCGCCCCCAATGTTCATTTCCGTGCGCCGATCGCCACCGAATCAAAACCCCTAAACAACAATCCGTGATTTCGAATTCGGATTGGGATATTTGGGGATTTCTGAGTGCGAAGAGTGAGAGGGACCTGGATTGTCTACCTCCCCATCTCATATCAAAGTTCACGATTAACGATTAAGTGAGGTCAATATTTTGTATTTTTATTGATTTTTGTTTTATTATTTTTATAAAAAAATTAATATAAAATGTTAATGTGATTTAACAGTGATTATAGAAATAAGAGAAGATGGGATAAGAGAGGACAGACAATCCAGGTATGTGTGGGGTTTTAGGATTTATTGGTTTTAATTAATTTATTTTTAAAATAAATTTTGAAGCTTGAATTCCGTAACGGCCAATGGAAACGCAGTAAAATGCAAAGCGTAAAATATTTGGAAAAAAAAAGAGACGTTGCGGTGGTTGGTGTGAAAAGGCGGAATATCATGGCAGTACGTGTGTGCCGTGGGTTGGGAATCAAGACACGTGTGCGGTGTGAGGCGACAGGGGAAAAAGCCCTGCTAAAACCTACGCCACGTAGCGGGATTGTCAGGGATGGTTCCGACTGGTAAAGCTTTCCCACAGCCATTGGGGGTCGTCTCTTTTCGTTTAAGGTTAATCGGGCGGCCGCGCGGAATAATAAACGTCATTGTCAACCCTTATTTGAATTTGAATTGAGCATGTTTTCAGATTTTTCTCCCTCCATTTTTTCATTTTAAATGAAACAATTGCTTCACATTCTTTTTTCCTCTTTTATACCATTTTTGCTCAACATTATAAATTATGGTGTATGTTTACCGTACATCTTAGATCTTGCACTTGTCATTGTAGTTAATCTTGATTAACATTCATATTAAATATTCTTTTTTAATTATAAAAAATTAAAAAAAACTAAAATACTCCTTATCTTTTCTCTACGCTTCTCACCTTTCTCTTTGTATCTCTCTCTCTCTTCCCCCTACCTCGCTAATCTGTAAAACTCAACATCTGATAAATCCTTACATTCAACTCATCTTCTTCTCCATTTGACCATATGCAGCAGAAAAAATGGCCATAAAATCAGGAAAGCACATACTAGACAAAGAGTTGAACTTTTCTTTTGTCTCTAACCGTTGAGTAAAAATTATACACAATATGTAAACAAATAATTCACTTGACACAATTTCTTCCTCGTTCATTTTTTTGAAGAGGGTTTATTAATTCGAGTTCGACCTATTCTAGGCTACGCGCCTATCAATTACAACAATTCTTTTGCGAAATGAATACCCTTTGATTCCAATAGGAATAAATCGTGACTTGGGGATTTGGGTGCGTATTTGATTTTGCGACTGCACCTAGGTCCAGCCCTAGAATGCCTACATACCCTCGTTGAGGGATCAAGTCACTCGTAGTTCTTTATGTATTTGTTGGGGTTTGATGCCTTGTGTAGTTTCAGCTCATGCAGGCAATTTGATGCCTTGTGCAGTTTTAGCTCGTGCGGGCGAGGACTTTAAGCCATTGAAGCATTTGATGCCTTGTGTAGGCGAGGACTTTAAGCCATTGGAGCATTCGCGGCTTCGTGCCATTTGATATTCGATAAGGCTTTGTGCCATTTGCTATTTGATACAACTTCATGCCATTTGAGACTTTTCTTCGCCTTCGTGCCATTTGGGATTTGATATGGCTTCGTACCCTTTGAAACTTGACGTGACTTCGTGCCACTTGAATTTGGAGCGGTTTTGTGCCATTTGAATTTGGAATGACTTTGTGCCATTTGAGACTTGTCTTGGCTTCATGCCATTTGACCACTTCAGGAATTTGAAATTAAATTTGACGTAGCGTAAGTTCATCGAGCTTGGTGCTTTGAGGTGGTTCACATTCGCGGTATTTTGCATCCACGAGTTCAATGTTGACATAGGCTCCACCTCTTTTATTTTAAACTTGCTTGGACTCCGCGTGCCTCCCCCATGCCATTGAGCTCTTGCCCGCTTTGGTCTTTAGGTTTTTTTTTGGGCATATGACATCCTATTAATTGTTGGGATTTTTCATTTTTGAATCATCATATGATTGCTCCATTTCATGCAAATGATCTCGAGCGTGCCCTGACAACAAGATCAAAGCTTAACTTCATGTTGGTTCCCTTGCTTTAAAACTCATTTGTTTGCTTTACTGGACACTTCTCTTTCTTCTTTTATATCATTCTCGTTGTTTAGAGATAAGTTGTGGTGAGCGTCATCAGATTGCAATAAATCCTTAGCTTCATTTGTGCACCAAAACTCAATATTTGACGGGATTGAGACTGCAGGCTCTAATGTCATTTTTCCTTTGAAGGACCTTTCTTCTTCCTCCTTTTCTTTTGGCATCACTTGAAGAATGTAGCAGCAACAAAGATAAGGTGTCATCATGAGTTGCACATTTCTTCTTTCAACAAGTTTGGAAAAGAACTTGTCGTTATAGAAAATAGTTTCCTCCCAATTATTTTTCTTTGTGGTCAATGAGGGTTGTTGCTTGTGTTTGTCTTCTTGTGAGATTACTATAATCTCCTCTTCACATACCAAATGAAGTGGGCATCCTCCCTCCACATTATTTCTTTGTGAAATAATATGATATTCTTGAGTTCCTAGTGTAATAGAGCAGCACAACAACTTGTAAAAAAAAAAAGGTAAATTACATAAAATACCTTAATTATTGGGTCATTAACAGTTTCATACCTCGTCTTTAAAAAGTTTCAATGTCATACCTTATCTTCGAATTTATTGCAATGTCATACCTTCTGTCAGTTGTCTGTCAATTTTTCTGTTAAACGTTGATGTGGCATGAGGCACAGCCCACTTTTTATTAAAAAGATTAAAAAAATATTAATTTTTTTTTTAAAAATACTTAAAAAATTAATTAAATATTAACTAAATATTAAAAAAATTAATTAAATATTAACTAAATATTAAAAAATTAAAATAAAATAAAAAAACCAAACCCAGATCTCATCACCCCCTCCCCGAAACCCCATCCCCTTTCCCATCTTCCTCATCCGTCATCCCCCTCCCTCCTAAAACCTTCACTCCAAACCCAGAACCCCACCACCCTTTCTCCCTCCCGGGCCTCCATTCTCTTTACCTTACATCTCATTCAAAAAAAAAAAAAAAAAAAAAAAAAACTAGTTGAAGTGGTCGGGGGAAGAAAATGTTAGGTGGGGTGCGATGATCTGAACAATTTGGGTTCAATTTTGTTTCTGATTTTTTATTTTTATTTTTATTTTATTTTAATTTTTAATATTTAGTTAATATTTAATTAATTTTTTTTATAGAAAGTGGACCCCGCCTCATGCCACTTTAGCATTTAACAAAGGAATTGACAGACAACTGACGGAAGGTATGACATTACAACAAATTCGAAGATAAGGTATGACATTGAAACTTTTTAAAGACGAGATATGAAACTGTTAATGACCCAATAGTTAAGGTAGTTTTATGTAATTTACCAAAAAAAAAAAAAGACTTTGAGATGGCTTTTCCCTTTTGATTTTCACGTGAGTGCCTTTCCCAAGAGAAAGTTATCACAAAGCTTTATTTTCTCCTTTTTTGTGAATTTAAGCTATCCAAGTTCAAATAGAACTTTGCTTCCCCTTCCTTTTATTGTCAAAAACCTCATGGCCAGAATCAGCAGTAGCTCGTCAAGAAAGTGGCTAAGGGGTAACCCAGAGGACCTTCTTAAGGCTGTAAATTTTTTTGACGTTCTACTTTGACTTTCCTTCTTTTTAGTAACTCATACTTCTAAAGCACGACCACGGATAACACATGTACCGTCTTCTTTTATGCTAGCGACTTAGACTGCAGCCAGCACCATTTTCAGGGCACTATGTAGGTAGCATAGCCTTTCCTTCCAAAGTGGTAGTAGCTTTTTCTTCTTGACTTCAAGACAGCGATGGCGGCGGTTGGGTTGCTCCTTTGTAGAGCTTCAATTGAAAGGCTGATGCATGTTCGAGTACGAACATTGGGGACGCGTTTTTTTTTTGTCTTCATCTGCTGCAGGGTCATGCATGCTTGTGGGAGTAACGAAATGATGGAAACACCATTTATGCACCATTGCCTTGTTACTTGTAGAGAACCATCTTCTACGACTTGGCGCACATAATTTTAAGGTTGTTCCTTGGTTACTTTTTACAAGACAAGGCCTTCCCTATTAGGCTACTTTGACGATCTTCTTCTTGGTAGCCTTTCTATAGGGACTGGGTCTTCAATAACCTCGTTACAGTGGACAAAACCTTCTAACAGCAATGCTACGACGGCAGGTGGTACAGATCATTTAGATTTGATTTGAACTTCACAAGGTGATTTAGACCACCCCGAAGAAATTCATGGGATGACGCACTTGGAATGGGAGGTTGTTGCAGCTGCTTGTGACCAGTGATGCAACGATTGGGGAAAGTGGGGAGGTTTCAACCTTCCTTCAGTTATGAACATCCAGAGGCCTACGACTTTATACTATGGTTTGAAATCGAAAATGATGGTGTTGTGATGGGAGAAGGGCGGAAGCCTCACTTCGGTCTTGCTCCATTTTTTTGCTGAGAACAGAGAGGGAACTAGAGTCCTTGGAAGTTTGACAAGGAAGAAGGAGTTGCCGAGAAGGACTTGCAGAACCTAACCTTTACACTTCTTATTTTAGGGAAGATAAATATAAAATGTCCACCTGCCAAGTTATGAAGAAAGAATTAAATAACTTTAAGTGAAGAATCTTACCTTCTGGACTCTTTCAATTCTCTTGCTTGCCATCTATCTCTTCTTCCTGACAATTGCTTCCTATTTGCTTTTTCTCCCTTCCCCTTGGTGTCTTTTTGTCGATTTCCCTCTGCTTTTGCAGTCAATTTCCCCTTTTATAGACTTAGGGTGACGGGAAGAGTGGGGTGAGAAAGTGGGTAGTTTTTCACCAACTTCTTTTGCACGTCCATGGAAATGGAGGAATTGTTTTCCAATATAAAATTACAATTTATTTTTATTTTACAATGGATGGTGCAGATTTCCTTAAAATAATCTATACCATTGATTTGTTTGCTACTCACATTCCCACTTTCCTTGAATTAAGGAACTGCTTCTTTTTTTTTATTTCTTTTTTAATTTTTTTTACCTCAACACTAACCATGGCCATCGTAAGCC